GCAGAGATGAAAGTTTCACAGTATAACAAAATGGTTGTGTTCCCTAATTGACAATAGAGTTCCTTCAAAAAACTGGCAAAATAATATTTGCATTTCTGTGATACCTGACTGTAAAACAGCTCTCTTATCCTGTTAAACAATTATTGAGCACTACTGTGGGCTAAGAAAAGGCCTGGCCTTTCAGAGTTGACTGTGATGTGGTCTGAGCTTTAAGCCTTATGAGGGGAAAGATGGCCATAACTCAGAAAGCAAAGGATAGCATAGTAGAGACAGGCAAACATGTCATATATTCATTCACTCTCCTGGTTCCCACGACACTCGTACTGAAATAGCCTCTGGCCATCTGTATGGAAGCTAAAAAATTTACTCATTTAACAGGTATTTATTGAGCACTTATTACGTGCCAGGCATTATTCTAGCCATGGGGGTGCAGCAGCAGTGAATGAAGAGGCCAAAATTCTTTTCTTTATAACATCTTATTTTAGTGAAAGAGGACAAACAATGAACAAAATAAATAGAAAGTAGGAAGTACTGGGGAGAAAAACAGAGCAAATAATGGAAGTATCAGGGTTTCCAAATTTTTAATATGGTAATTAAAGCTAAGAAAGACCTCATTGGGAAGGTGAAGTTTGAGCAAACACTAGCTGTTAATGAGGGTACAAGGCTTGCATGTGGTAAAGGAGGCAGAATCCCCAGGAAGAACTCTTGATGAGAGAATGTGCCTAGAATGTTTAAGGAAGAGCAGGGAGGCCTGTGAGGGAAGCAGGGAAAGCAAGAAGTCAACTACTTGAAGAGTCAGGAGAAGAGATCCCAGGGAGAAGGTGTAGGGAAGGAGGATTTGGTCATGGCAGGGCTCTCAACCCCCAATAGGACTTTGCCTTTTACTCCAAGTGAGATAGGAATCACAACTGGGGTTCTTACCCATGGGCCATCTTTATTTTTATGAAGCTTTAATTGAAATTTAACATTTCCTTCCATTGTACAAGCAAGCAACAAACCACAATAGGATCAGTAGCACCTGTAGCCTTCTCTTAAACTGAAATGACGTTTTCAATTTTCCTATCACCTTATAGGATTTGCATATATCTACAAATATTTGTAGTTTACGCTCATTTTTAGACCACTACAGAATCATGTTATTTAATGATGCTCATATATTGTAATCCTGCATATTTTAATTTTATGCATTAAAAAGAAGTTGAGAACACCTGCATCACTGGGATTTGAGTAGGACTCATATGGTCTGACATAGTGTTTTGCAAATATTACTCTACCTGCTTTGTTGAGGATGAATTGTCAGGGCAAAGTGCAATCATGGAGACACGCTAGGGTGGTACTGCAGTTGCCAGTGGAAATAGCGTCCTTGCAGTTTCACAAGGAAAGCATTTCAGGGACCACAAATGGGAGGATGAGTTGTGGTGGTAAGATTCCTTGAAGCTGGAACAAACAAAAATACTTTCCCAGACTCAGCTCAGTCCTGCTGTGAAAGAAGTCCAGCCTTGTCTTCATCAAGCCCAGAGGAAAGGCCAACATCCAGAAGTTCTGTGCATTGGTTCAGTCCATATCAAATCTTAGTCCAGTTCTGCCTCTGTTGCTATGCAGCTAACATATTTCTGGCTGTGCTCTGTTTTTGTATCCAGGCTCATTCTTGGAGTCTGTGTGGCTGCTGGGCCAGCATGGCTACAAAGAAAGAATATACAAGCACCTGGGCAAGTGTGTAGTACCAGGAGAGAGAGAGTGAGATTCCTTTTGTTAAGCTTTGATTATATCTTAGGCTTAAGAAGGACCAGACACTCTTTCAAACGAACCAATCAACTTCCCAATCTTTTGCAGACTGGTGCTGGCCCACCACCCAACCAATCCATTTTCTAGATCTTCTGGAGTTCTGTGCCCCTTGTCCAATTCACTCTTTTTTCCAGGCTGGGTACTGCCCATTATGGTCACCATCTTAGGTGACCTACTTAGCTCCTACTGTACATGCCTCACAGTATAAGGACCTTCCTCTGTGCCATCTTGGCTTACACTGGGCATGTGCCCAGCAGAAGAACTTCCTTTATTGTTTATTCCTCCTCTGGGTGAGTGGAACTTTTGTATCCTTGGGAGACAGGAAAGCCAGTGCTTCCTCCCATATGTGAGGAAGGGAGGGGTGTTAATCCCTTTGGTGGGGCAATGCTTCAATCCCCTGGGTGTCTGATGTTGTAACTTCCAGATTTAATCAATCAGGCTTATTGTCTGATTCAGTTCCCTAGTTTATTAGGCTTAGTAATGTCTGATTCCCTTTGCTTCCCTCCTTTTACTAATACCTAGTTTCCCACGCTAACACTGCAACAACCTAGACAAGAGGTGGTTGTGGTTGGGGCCAGCATGAGAAGTGGTAGAGTCTGGATGCATTTTGAAGGGAGAGCCCACCGAACATTTTGCTGGGCAGGAAGTGAAAGAGAGCCAAGGTGAAGCCTATGATTTGGGCCTGGAAGAATGGAGTTGCCATTAAGTAAGAAAGGAAAGACAGCAGGTGACGGGCTTTAGCATGATAAGGTTGAGATAACTATTAGATAGCCAAGTTGTTTTCATTTGGGAGATTCAGGATCCAATCTTTTGTCTGATAACAATTTCTAAGAGAGATGTATTACATTTTACCAATAGGATGGTGAAATAGTCAAATTCTCATAATTCTGTGAATTTTTACTTCAATATTTTGAAGCAATATCATTAGATCCCTACAGATTTGATATTGTCATCTCCTCCTGGTGAATTTGTTTTAATCCTCACCCGAAGATATGTTCATTGATTTTAGAGAGAGAGAGGAAGAAAGGGAGAGAAACATCAATGTGAGAAAGAAACATTGATTCGTTGCTTCCCGTACATGCCCTGACTGGCAATCGAACCTGCAACATTTTATTATATGGGATAATGCTCCATCCAACTGAATCATCCAGCCAGGGTGAATTTTTAAAATAAAGAATTGGTATTTAGAATATAGATAGATAGATAGATAGATAGATAGATAGATAGATAATCATTTGATTAATCAAAATGGAGATACACTCTACATGATTAACTCCTTTTGACTGAGATATAATTGACATATAACATTATGTTTTTACTTTTATTAAATAAAGAACTTTTCTCTTTCATAATACTTTTTGCCTTATGGTTTAGTTTATCTGGTATTTATATTGCTAGACTAGCTTATTTTTTAGCCATTAGTTGTCATTCCCCTCTCCTTTTCAACTTTCTTTGATAGTATATATTTTTTGGTAACAGCTTCCTTGAGATAATTCACACAATATACCACTTAAAATATACAGTTCAGTTGTTTTTAGTAACTTCATAAAGTTGTGCAATGTTCACCTCCATGTGGTTCCAAAATATTTTCATCACCCCAAAAGATACTCTGTATCCATTAAGCAACCATTTTTATTCTTTTCTCCTCCTGCCCCTCCCCCAGCCTCAACAGTAGCTAATTTATTTTCTGTCTATGAATTTGCCTATTCTGAACATTTCATATGAATGGAATTTCACAATGTGTGGCCTTTGTATGTGGTTTCTTTCACTTAGCATACATGTCTTCAAGGTTCATCCATGTTGTGGCATGTTGTGTTAGTACTTCATTCTCTTTTATGGCTGAATAATATTCCATTGTATGGGTAGATCACATTTTGTTTTCTCATTCAGAAGTTGATGGACATTTGGGTTCTTTCTGCCTTTTGGGGTATTATTATAAATAATGCTGCTATGAACAATCATGGATAAGGTTTTATATGGACATGTGTTTCTGGTTCCCTTGGGTATATTCCTGGGACTTTTGTGGTCTTGTTTTTCGCATTTACATCTTTAATCCATCTGGTGTAAGGTGGCCATATCAGAACTGGGTTGTTATTCTTCATCTAAAAATTGCTCATAAATATGAAGATAATATTAATTTTTAATCTTTATATAAGTTAATTATACATGTAGATTGTTCTTTGCAAATATGCTACTTTATCCATAGTATGGAAACATGCCCTAAAATTTAAGCACAAATATTCACTACAATTGAAAATTAAATAGGTTAGAACATTTCACTTTATTAATATTAGTAAGAATAGCATTATCCAAATTAGTAATAATACCTGAGTGACTGAGAGTGTTCAATGCAAGGCCAGCTAAATAATATGCTGGGTCCATTACAAAATGAAAATATGGAGCTCTAGGCTAAGATGGGTAAGTCATCTCCCCTTCCCATGGGCCCACCACTCCAACATGCATCCACCATGGCTGGCAACTTTTGCACTAGTATTCACAAAGTACCTGGTGTGGGGGGAAAGATGCCCATGTTGAGTTGTGAACTGAACACTCCATGGCACTGCCCGTCCCAAGTGGGGATGGTCATCACCACGCTCTGACTAGAGACTCCTTGGTGTCTCTTTGTTCTTTCCATTCCTGTGTCTGGGACTCCACTGAGAGTAGAGCATGGTAGCTGAATGTGGGCCTCCCCAATGGATGCAGCCCAGTTGTCACCTTTAGCAGAAAGTGGCAGCAGTCATGAGGCAGGGTGGGGAGGCGCTATAGGACCCAGTGTGCCAGAAGCAGAGAACAGATGGGAAAGAATCTATCATGGAGTGATGGTGGGAGGTGGGTACCACACGTGAGCCAAAGCTCCAAGCACCTGGACATGCTCCATTGTCTTACTTGACTTCAGGTAAAAACACAAAATCAAAAATAAAATTATTAATAATTAAGACTTATAATGCTAGCCCAGGTTTAATGTAATTTCTTCTGAACAAACTAAAAATTTGAAGAAGAATTTTATTAATGGCATTATCAGTGATTTTTACCTTATTTTTCTCCTGGTTTCCTACAATGGAAGAGTTACTTTTATAATTAATCAAACTCCAACATTATATAAAGATATTTTACTGGTATTATCTTACGTAAATATGATCTATTGCAGTTCTGTCTCCATTTTGGGGTAAATACATATTTGGTACTTTAAGAAAAATGTGTTTCTCTTTACCTAGGACCATTAATATAAGATTAGCCAATTTATCAGATACTTCTGGTATTGAAAATCTCGTCAGCACCCTCATGCTCAATAAAAGCATATTGGAAGATCTAAAGCAATACAATGAGGCTCGCAGAGATCCTGTAAGTCCTGCTATGACCAGATTGGCTTTCTTTACTTCATGTTATGGGACCATTATGATTCGTGTAGGTTCAACCTGAGGTTTCCTTGGACCTTAGTGGGAATTGTGTGGTGGGAAGCAGTGTAGTATTGGAAGTTGGGAACAAGGAAAAAAAAAAGGTAACTGAGGTTTAAGGAATTGAGGTTATTCTCCTCACTGGTGGCCCCAAGGACTGTGGTGGTGCATACATGAATCTACACAAGAGATATAATTGTGTACAACTTAATACACACACACACAGTCGCATCAATGTGTGTTCCCTGCTTGTCATTTTATGGTAATGTTTTATAAAATGTTGCTATTAGGGGACACTTATCAAAGTAAAAGATATTTCTTTATATTTTTTCTTATAATTGCTTGTGAGTCTACATCTATCTCAAAAGACATTTTAATTCAAAAGAACATGGAGCACCAGTTTCACTTGAGCAGTAAAATCATTAACTTTATTAAGTTTTAATCCTTGAGTGCATGTATTTTTAGAATTCTGTGTGTCAAAATGAGAAGTGCACATAAAGCTCTTCTGCTGCAGACTGAAACATGTTGGGTTGTTTCAGGAAAAAACATTTCTGCAATTGTTTGAGTTACATGCTGACCCAGCCAGCATTTTCACAGAACACCATTTTTACTTGAAAGAACAGCTGGCATACAAAATATGGTTATTCAGTCTCAGGTAGTTGGCAGGCATTTTCTTTTAAAAACAAACGTGAGCCTGTCAGTGCAAGAAAACAACCGACAACACTTGTCCGCTATGAAAAAATCCAAGCTTTCAAAAAAAATTAGAATTTTGGAAAAGCAGTATCTGCTGTCATGGGCTTGAGAGCTTCCTAATAATTAAAAGACCTTTTCTGATAAGTCTGGTGGTGATGTTACCAAGTGTGATATTTTGATATTTTGAAGAAATAGGTCAACATTTGGGAAATCTACATAAGCTTGGCAAACCAGTATTTTAGAGATAAACAATACATGATGTTATAAAATCTTTCATAGGAAGAAGATTCATTCAAAGTGCAAAACAGACCAATGAATTGTAATGCATATACAACATTCATTGGTTTGGTTTCAGATTCCCCATTTAAAAATTTTAATCTTTAAAACACTACCACTTGTTGAATTTTGGTGGGGTATCAAAGAAGAATGTCTGTAATTATCTGAAAAGGTTATTTAAATACTTCTCTCTTTTCCAATTATGTATCTTTGTAAAGATAGATTTTTTCATTTTTTTAACCAAAATAACATATTGCAACAGATTGAATATAGAAGCAATTATGAGTATCCAGCTGTCTTCCATTAAGCCAGACATTAGAGATTTGCAAAAATAAGAAACAATGCTACTCTTCTCTAAATATTTTTGTCCAATTAAAAAATCATTTCAATTAATAAGTTAAACATGAAATTAAAAATTTTCTCAGTTTTAATTACTAATACAGCAAAGATTGATAGATACACATAAACAAACTGAAGCTCTCAGGAGTCCTTTGAGCATAGGGGTCCTGAGATCACAATATCTGAGAATCACTGATGTAGAGCTAACGAAAGATTCTCGGTCAAGGAAATACAGTTTGAATCATAGGTTCATTTCTTACTAGCTGGAGATTTTGGCAAGTTACTCAGTCTTTCAAGCATATTTTCTCATAAATGAGGTAGAGATAATGATAATACTTACAGGGTTGGAGTGAAAATTAAGTGAACACTGGGAGGGCATTTAATTTGCTACCTGGCCCAAAGGTGAGTGGTGATAGATGGTCTGACTATTAAGTGATCATGGCTCAAACCTATTACTGACTGCTTGCAGAAACATTGATAGCAATATTTTCAAGGATATTAAAAAATATATTCATCTTTTCAGGATGGAACACCACTGCAAGCATTTGTAGCTGATGTGGCAGAACAAATTGTTGGCATTGCAGTAATCAGAAATGAAATGGTAAATTGTGAAATGGATATTAATTTCCTTGATTGTGCCTCTTTATTTTATGAATTAACGCACAATACCTCTTTTGAAGTTTCATTTTTACTTGTTTAATATGAATGGCTTCTTTTTCTGGAGTATATAAATCATGATATGCTGCACACCACTTAGCAGTCTTTTAAGTCTTCATTTTTTTAGTCCAAAAATGTTTAAAATACTATAAAGAATACATGAAAACATTCACATTCCATAAATTCAAATAACCTTCTACCACTCAAAAAAAATCCCACTGCTCTCCCCAAAGGATTACTACCATTTATAGTCATTTATCTCTTCTAACATTTTTCCATGCACTTAATTACATGCATCTTGTGTGTGTGTGTGTGGTGTGTATCTTGTCAAGTGGACCTCTGATTTTATTTTTTCCCAGTGCACAATTATGCCAAAGTATTTATTACAGAGTCATTCATTTCTTCCTACTGATTTAAAATGCTACCTTTATATTATTAAGTTTCTATATGCCTGTGTCTCTTTTTACTCTCTACTGTGTTACATGGATTTATTTGTTGGTATCTATGGCATTATCATGGACTTCACTATCTGGTAAGGATATCTTCTCTCATTTGTCTTCTTTCCTAAATTTTCATGATTTTACTTTGTTGTTTTTTTTCTCACAGACAAGCATTGTAATATTTATTATGAATTTATTTGCATTTATGTAGATTTTATAGAACAATTTAGGAAGAATTGGCAATTAAAATACAGCCGCTTCCCTTCTAGGAACATAGCTTCCTCTCTTTTTGCTGTGATGGTCATTCAATTCTTTGCTCCTTCAGAAAAGTTTTGTGGCTTTGTTCATACAGATTGTGTGTATCAAATATTTTTGCCCCTGGAGGTTCACTCTCCACCTTTCTCCATCTAGTTCCATCCCAGGAACTCTAACCTGATGAGCAACATTATGGGTTCCTTTGCCCTTCAGCTTCCAATTAGGTTTGACCAATGGGGAACACTGATGAGAGAAAGGGAGGAGAGTAAGATTGGGCTGCCTGGGGCTGGTCTCTCCACTGAACTCCCTAATCTTTTCCAAGCAGTCTCTTCTCCATGATTCTTTTATTGGATTCCAGGAACCAGTACCTCTCATGCTATCACCGCCCCCAACACCCCCCGCAACCTCGCAGCGTGGTAATAACTTGCAGTTCCTGCTACACTGTCTACTGGTTTCTCTACATCCTGTCTCCTCCTTGTAAATAGTCCCTTTGTTAAACTCCAGTTATGCTAATGGTGAATATATCATCTGTTTCTTGCTGAGACCCTCTCCAATACAGTCCTGGACATTTATGATTTATCTCTACATGTTTTATATTTTTCTGGGCATTGTGAAAAGACACTTTTTTTTCATTGTACTTTCAGAGTGTTTATTTTCATATGTGGGAAAATTACTAATTTTTGTATTCTTGTATCCAATCAGCTTTTTGAAGTCTCTCATTAGCTCTGGGAGTTTTTCAACTGATCTTTTTCTGGCCCAGCATAACTTCTACCATATTATACTGGTCAAAGCAGTCACAGGACATACTTAGATTCCAGGGACGGAGAAATGGACTTTAACTCCTAATGTGACAACTTCTCTCTGTAGAAGAACATGTGGGATGAGAGATACTGTCATGGCCATTTTGAAACAGAATATGCCACACAGTCTTTTAAAAATATTTATACCTTTTTTTTTCGATTTTACCTGCATTTACAACAACATTGAATAGTAGTATTTATAATGGGTACTTTGTGGTGTTTTTAAAAAATTTTAATAGAAATGATTCTGTATTTCCCCCCATTTAGTAAATGTTTGCTGCAGGTACTGGGAGGTATTGTTTATCAAGTTAAGGCACTTCTCTCCTGTTCCTAGTTTACTAAAAGTTTTTTATTATGAATGAGTGTTGAATTTTATTAGATGTGGTTTTGGCATTTATTGAGATGTTCATATGGCTTTACTCCTTTAATGTATTCAAATTCTCATTATTAGATTCATTTCTCTTTGATTCAATACGTCTTTCAGCAGTTCTTTTAGAGAGGATGGTAGGTAGCAGTGTCTCTGAATCCATACATAAACTAGTTTTCATTTTGTCCTCATGCTTGGCTATGTATAGAATTCTTATTCAACTTATTTCTCATCAGAATGTTGATGTTTTTACTGTCCTTGTCCAGTGTCCGGGGTCAGTGATAAAATATAATCTGATATAAATATATGTATATTTTGTTCTTTCTTTCTTTGGTATATTTCCTTCTATTTTGTTTTATTAAATACCTGAAATTCTAAAATTTTACCAAGAAGTATTTTATGCCTCTTTTGAACTTGGGGATTCCTTTCTTCTATGATTTTGTTTCTTCCCTTTCATTTTCTCCGTTCTCCTCTTCTTGAATTCCTTTTTAGATGGATATTGGATCTTTTGAATTGATCCTTTACTATCTTTTAACTTTCTTCTCATATTTGTTAATCTCCTGTACTTCTTTCTAGATTTCCTCAATTTTGTCCTCTCGATCTCTAATTCAGTCCTCATTTATGTCTATTCTATTATCCAGGCCTCTTTTGGAATTTTAATATCAGGATTTGTATATTTAACTTCCAAGCCTTTCTTGTTTCCTTCTTGTCACTTCTTTGTAGCAGCTTGTTTGTTATGTTACATGCAAGATTCTTTTCGATATTTCTGAGGACACTGAGTAGAATTTTTTTTCTAGTTCTCTTCTGTTCCCTGAATAACCTCTGTTTTCTCTGGAGTAAGTTGTATGTTTTGCTGTTGTGGACTTTTGCATTTGTCACTTTTCCTCAAAAGTCTATCCATGTCATGAATGATAGATTAGATTACCAGTATGGCTGTCTGGCATAATATCCTTGACAGTTGTGCATATCTGCTTCTCCATTCACCTCTCCAATCACTGGAAGGACTGCCCACTCCTCTGTCCAATCAGTGGGTATTAGTCATCTGGCTTCCTCTTGTGGTGCTTGAAGGTAGAACTGGCAGGCAGCAGGTAGGGGCCAAGTTAGGAAGTTTTAATCTAATGGTAGAGGACTTTGGTATGTTTTCCTCTAAGGTAAAACTGCCTTACTCTTTTGTCCCCTCATCACTCTCCCTCATTATTTTAAAATTAATTTTTTGTTTAATTTTTAGGGATTTGAGATGGGAAGAAAATTAGATGCACATGGCCCATCTGCTGTTTTGAGCTAATAACCTCTATTGGCTCTTTGTTTTCACTTTTTGTTTTTCACTGATTTCTCAGACCTACTAATATTACTCATTTTATTTGATAATGAGGCATGCTCCTTGGTAATTAAATAAAAGTCTTAAGGTGTACAGGCAGTTATAGGGTCAGTGCAGACAGAAAGGTCAGACAGTGCCAGAACTGCCTTTTGGTACCACCACTGGCTTTGGTACCCTAAATTCCATTTCCTCTGAGCTTTGTGGCAGATGCTGGAAAAACAAGGAATGCTGAGAAGCTTAGACATAGACTTCCCAGTTTTCCTGAATTTTCTGCTGCCAGCCTTGCCAATCACAGCATAAATCAAGTTCTTTGCATTTTTTAATTCCTCTTCTTGAAACTGTGTTTTTAGGACAATTTTACTGTGAAAAGTTAAAAGAAATATAAGTAGATGATTTTCAATTTGCATATGGTCTGATTTTTCCTGCACATCAAGTGTGTTTACTGTCCCTGTAATGACAGAGTCACACTCCCTCTGGCTTTTGCCCCCACCCCCACAATATACACTACTGGGAAGTGAAGCAGGACAGAATGAGCCAGTGCACAGTTCGCATGGATGAGTCCCTGCTTCCCTCCCCTGCAGTGTAGGGAACAGAGGCCGGTGATCAGAACTGGATCCAAAGAAGCAGGGATAGAATATCCAATATTTTTATAAGTAAACACTCACCAATCATTTAAAATGTTATACAGTCATGCACCAAATAACAATGTTTGGTCCATGATGGGCCACATATAGGACAGAGGTTCCTTAAGGTTATAATGGAGCTGGAAAAGTCTTATAACCATTATAGTTGATGTTTTATTTTATAGCCCAATGCATTACTCACTCACATGTTTGTGGTGATGCTGATGTAAACAAATTTGCCAGTCATAAAAGTATAGCACAATTATGTACAGTACATAATACTTAATAATGCTAATAAATGACTGTTACTGGTTTATGTGTTTACTATACTTTTTATCATTATTTTAGAGTGTACTCTTTCTACTTACAAAAAATTAAATTAGCTCTAAAGCAGTATGCCATGTTCTGCTGGGAGCAGTTCTGTACATCTCAGGGTTACTGAGTCTCTTGATGGCATCACTTTCCCTTGTGCTTGATTTAATATTACTGTGTTTTGTACAGTAACATGCTGTACAGGTTTGTAGCCTGGGAGCAATAGGCTATATCACATACTATATTTGTGTAGTAGGCTATATCATCTCTGTTTGTGTAATTGCACTTAATGATGTTCACACAATGATAACACTACCTAACAACATATTTCTCATAATGCATCCCAGTTGTTAAGTGACACATTACTGTACCTCAGAGAGATAAAAAGTTTAAGGAATGCCTATGGATGAGGCCCAGACTCACAGTTTTATTGTAGGCCAACCCAGCCATGTGTGCCAGTCAAAGTGTGTGACTTGTGGAATGGCTCATTTCCACATTAATATGTGAATTGAGAATAGTAATGAATCCAGAGAACGGTGGTATTTGTCATGTTCCTGAAATTTGCACATGCTTGGTCCATTGTGCTGACTAGCTCATGCACCCCTTGCCCACTAGCAGTGAAGAGCTGCTGCCCTGCTGCCTGGTCCCTAGCAGAGATGCAAGGCTCTCTGTAAGGAGCAAATTCCAAAGCTATGTAGCTCTCCTCCAGAGACAAGCCATCAGAACAAATGACTTTTAGAAAACATAATTTTTAGTTCTTAAATTAACATTGAAGATGAGTAGTAAATCACAGGAGAGAAAAAACACATTTCTTACTATTATACAATACCTAAAGTAATTTTTAAAAAGCTTTTTATCACAAAATGTTTGCCATTTGTTTAAAAATTCTTAGCTGTCCTTTCCTCGCCTCTTTTTTAGGATATAGAGTACATACGATCCCATTACAATATTGAAGATTTTATCTACTTCAGCCACTACCAGCACGAAGAGCATGGACACCTGTATCACTTTGCCCTGAACCCCATTTTTCGGCACTATACCAAGTTTTTTCTGAAGGAGATACTCCGTTTAGGTTATAAGTCCTGTCTCTACTACCCTATTTACCCGGCTTCCAGGGAAGGCAAGGTAAAGAAAATGTTTTAATTAATGTTTCCAGCAGATTAGTGTCATGGTATAATTTGTGTTGTGTGCTATATTGTATTCCTTTCTTGCTTGATGGACTTTGATTATAGTGTGGCTCTGAATTTCAGATGGCCATATTGAGTTTGGCCCTTGCACTATAGTGAAAGCCCAAGGTTTCAACATTGACTGTGATCTGAAACATCACAGTCAATATAATTAGTAGGACATTTTCTGGGCTTTTCCATATTAACAAAACAGACTAAAAACTCTGCAAAAATTCAAAAACACTCCAAGGGACTTGAAAATCAAATGATTTCTTATTGGTACTTTAGTGAAAGACTAAAATGATTCTATCATGTTCTTAAAGCAAAAAACATTTCAGTAATGAACCCATAGGATAAATCAGTTCAATCTTGTAAGATTGATATGCTCTCACAGCATTCCAAATAAGCACTATAATCATCCACACAAAAGTAATGGATAAAAAGTGGAGATTTATAATATTTACTTAACCATTATGTATCAAATACCTATATAACTCTGCAAAATATTTGTTATACTTATGTAGATAATGCTTTTGTAATGAATACATATCTGACATATATACATTACGTATGTGTGCAAGCACAGATATCAAGCTCTTCATTTACCCTGCTTTAGTCCCCTTTATAGCACTTTTCACTAGCTAAAATTTCATCTCTTTCCATGAAGGCAGGGGTGTTTATCTGTCTTTTCAAAGCTTTATCCCAGTGCCTAGAAGAGCCACACATGCACCTTGGGGCAAAAATAAGTTTACAGTTGTTTGTATGTAAATTAACACAATAATAAATAATACAAGGATAAACTGTGTTTTGTGTACTCACAACTGTAAACCTACTTTTGCCCCACCCTGTATATATGCATACACTCACATACAATGTCCTGGGTGTTCCACAGGCAAGGGCTTCTTCAAGCTGGATTCCCAAGGTGTTTCCTGCAAGTTGTTTCTTCCATCACTGACAGCATTGGTCCTCAGCTTGACGTAAACTTGCGGGGTGATGAGATTCAACCACTAGACTAGGTAGAAACTGTCCCATCAGATCCCAGTCATGACTGAAAACTTTCTCATGCTCTGCCTAGAATCTTTGATGTTGTCACGTTTTTACTTAATTACCACAAGTGAGCTAAGCAGATTTTTAAAATGATCCTATTTTTTAAACTTAACATTCTAAAATGTATTAATGCATTCGCATAACAGTAATTTTTACCATGTATCTTAATTAACAAAAGCCTTCGGAGAAATAGAAGGGGAATGTGAAAAAAAGAATAAAATATATGGAAAAGATTATTATTGAGATATGGAATATGCTTTAGTGCCAGTTTTTTTCTTTTTTGTCAAAATGTAGTACTATAGCAATTTGAATGCCTACATTTGAACTTAATAAGATGGAAAGACAACAGTTTTGCTAGAAAATCCTGTTCCTGTGTAATTTCTTTTTAGTTTGCATTTGGCCAGTTGCCAATTTGGTCACCTTCAGCTTGTGATATTAAATTCTTAGTTTTTATTCATGATATTGTATGCATGTGCCAAGCTGATAGAAAGTCCTTTTGCATCCATAATAAAAATAGTATCTTAGACATTTTATTGAGTGTTCATATGTTTACTTCAATAGTATAGATTTGGAATATGTTATGAAGTATTTCCTATAGGATGTAGAGACACATTTGGGAACAGATTTAAACAAGTGTAGGAAGCAGTACCAAATATTTTAGGTAAGAATTTTCAAATTCTGCTATAAGTAAATCCCTAGTTGATAGTAGTAAAAATGAGCTTTCAGCTCACCTTTGGTTTTCTCCACAACCTCCTGTCAGAACATGTATTGAGAGGTCTTCCAGGCATAAAAACAGGGCTTTCACTAGGAATTCCTGGGTTCTGTTTGTCAGTGTGTAAAATCAAGGTATGAATTTCAATTGTGAATGATGTTAGAAATCCCTTTTAGCAACTCTTAGAAATGCCTGGGGCTATTTTTAGAATAGCAAATAAGTCACATGTAAATCATCATATTTATTAAACTACACTTCCAGTTCAGTTTTATTTTCTTTGCTTTCCAGCTTAAATACAACCAATATATCTTTTAAAATGTTGGTTTCACAGCTTAACTTTTGAGATTTATATGGTTGAAATACTTAGTTAATTTCACCAAAACTCCTAAGAATTCATAAATGTGAAAGAAATAAAGGTCACCATGTTCAGTTTTTCCTGCCAAGTTTTAAAAATTGAGTAAAATTACTATTTAAGACATTCTTCTAAAACATGATTTATCATAGTTCATTTCAATAAGCATAAATTTGAGTTATAATTTAGTATTAATTTAAGTCAAAAATAATATGATCTAATTCCCCCAACTACCCTACTTTCTATTTTTGTCATTTATTTTCAGAACACTTTCTCAACAGAGGTCCAGTTAAAGTAGCTGTGCTTTCACAAACAGGAGGATTTTCACATCGTATTCATTTGTCCTCTGATGACATTTTTATATATTCACCTTCTTAAAGCAGCTAATGCTAAATACACAAAGGTTAATAGGACACAGATAACAGCTTAATGGGGTAAAATCAAGACGATTCACGTTCACTATGGAGAAGAACATCCTCCTGGGGAAAATACTTGTACTGAAAAATCCCCTAAACCAAACCACTTGTTTATCTGTCATTCCCACAGAGATAGTAATGTAATTACTCTCATAATTATCTTCATTAGTGTCAGGCATTATCTACAATTCATTCCTCTGCTCGGAGTGTATGTTTGTTTATTTGCTGGGGTTTTTTTCCCCCTCTCCAATTTGGCCAAGTTCAGAATTTTGTATTTGTAAAGCCACATGCAGGCATCTGTGCTGCAAATCTCTGACATTTTCTCCCTTAAAATAGATATTGCTGTCTTGCAGTTCCAGAGCTCCTACGCCCATTCCCTGACATCCGCCCTTCATTACTTGGTTCCCGTGCGACCGCGACGACAGATTGTCTATCCTCTGGAAAAGCTTGGCATCAACGCTCCATCAAAGGCTGTCTCCAAGGATCTGGTGAGTAGACAGGCGGCAGCAGGCAGGAGGCGTGGTGCCAGCTCAGGCAGGCATGGCAGATGGGGTGGCAGCACTGTCTTCTTAGGCACAGGCTGCTGCTTATTTACTGGGAGCCTGACTCTCATGCCCTTACAGGGGTGCCCTCACCCTCGGGTGGTTATTCCACAATAAGCCTAAAACAGGAGCCCCACAATCCCTGGAGTAACAGACTCCATGGGGACACTCACATGCTCTGCTGTGTCTTAGGACAAGTGACCTGGAGTCAACCTCGCAGACTTTCTATTTTCTTTCCCCTTGCTCAAAAGCACATTTTGCCATTCCATCATGTATTGCTTTCAAGGCAAAAGTGACTATTCACAATTTGGACAAAGCTAATGGAGAAAATTGAGCTGACTGCATTTAAGATGTTTGGGTCTGAGTCCTAATCTGGGTTTGTTAACTCTTCTGCTGGGAGTCAGGATGACTAACAGAAACATATTAACTGTTCTGGGATGGTTCAGAGGTTTGACCTTAAAGTGAACAGAATGCTCATGCTCTTTTGGTAGAATGCTTTTACTACCAAAACAAGAAAAGGGACAGAAATAATACCTAATTTTGCATTAAATGGAAGTGTACATGTATATGTTCATACAGCCATGTACATGATTTTGTCAAGCTCACTTATGTGTAGGTTTGTAGTGTTTGAATAATGCACTTCCACTTAATTAAGTTAAAAAAAATCCCTCAGTGGGCAGACAGTTGTCCATGTGAGAGAGAGAAAAAGGAAAGTGGAAAGTTTAAATGCCCCAAATGTTTAGCCAAGAAGTTACTCATCAGAGCTAGATGTGCTAAAATAAACAACTCGTTATCACTTCAGCACTGTAGAAGTTCATCATTTCATTGCCCCCACTTTACATATGGGTTCCCTGCTAGGGTAGTGCTCCACCAAGATCCACTGAGAGGCAGCTGCATACTATAAGCAAGGCAGCTTTCAGTCTTTTATATATATGAATTTATTTTCTGACAAGCTCTAAATTTATATTTGAATAGAGACTAAAAACAAATAGGAAATCTTCCCCCCTTCTAACTCTTGACTGTAGGAAATATAAAGTGTATACAAACACAGGGCTTTTCATTCTGTCTGTGCTGAGGGACATTAATACAAAATGATAGTTTTGTAAAAAATGAAGTCCTTAGAAAATGAGATTAAAAAACAGACAAAATAAAAGCCTGATTATTTTGGTACTAGATTTAACAGATAACTACATCTTCACAGGCCAGTGACAGTTTGTAGATGGGCACCTGTTTCAGATCACATGCTGAATAGCACTAAAACTCCCATATACATGTACACTTAGCTTAACAGTTTTTAACTCGTGGCCAATTTTGGATCTTCTATATCCCCACCCACTTCTCCTTCCTCCCTTATCATTTTGAAACAATCCCCATATGTATATCATTTCATCAAGGATCAAAGGTGCATTCTCAGGTAGCAGGGCTACAGCACTGAAGTTCATACTCTGTCTACTCTAGCGATAAGAGTACCAAACTCATCTGGAGAACCTTTGGGATGGCTATCAGGTGATTTGTTTGTGTGTGGAGATCCTGGGAAACGACCCCTTTGGAATGAGAGCTAAGACTCACATATTTGGTGCAAAGAGCACTTTGGGGTCAGGCAGGGTGGCTTCATCTGTATCTGTCAGTGAAACACAGCTTTAGTGAGTCATAAAGCGGCTGCAGGAGAAAGAGCTGAAGGTACAAAGTACATGGATGCAGATTTTGTGTCATATCAGGGTAAGAATGAGATATGCTGCCCTTTTGCAGCCACTGCTGAGACACCTTCAAGTATGAATAGACCATGTAACTGGGCCAGAGGAAACCTTCACACACAGTGGTGGCCCATGGCTCCAGCGCCTTCAGCCAGTCCTCTGGTGGAATGAGTGGCGGGGCGGGGGAAGGAGGGGAGCAAGTACAGAACTGATGGTTGGATATCAAAAGCACTGATTTTCCAAACACCAGGCACCTCTTCTCCCCAACCTCTACCCCCGAACCTCTAGAGTCTGATGACTTTGAGGTGAGCTGGAGTTTCAGGTGGAAAGATAGCCAGAGATTGGTATGAATTGAAATCATTGCTTGCATTTAATAGCCTGTTCTGTGGTCACGCCAGTGTTTTACGTCCGTAGAGCCCCAACTTCTTTCAGGACATAGCTGAGGATAGATTAAATCCCTGGTCCAGGAAGACAACCACTTATCAGCAGGGTTTGAGCTGATGCTTGGTACTTGTTACACTGTACTGTGTTGTTCATTGTATTGGTGAATTCTGACTTTTAAAGAAGCACTTTTGCTGCTACTTGTACTCATTCTTGAGAAAGTTTTAGTAAAGATTTAGAAAAAAAATTCAGAAATCTTGAAAGTTTGGTCAAAGGATTATCAAGAACATAATCCACATGTGATAGACCTGGATGTTCACAAGTTAAAATACTACATTATATTATTTAAACATTTTCTTTTTAACATTTTAGGTACATTTAATGTTTTAGGCTGATTATCTCAAACGAAATGAGCCAAATAGAAATTTTTAGGAGGAATATCTATACACTGATTTTTTTTTTAGCAGAGTAAATAATATTGCAGCCGTTGAACTAAGTGTGGTTAATAAATTGTCATTACCAAATGAATGCTGTTTCCCCCCTCCCTTTAAGTTTTCCATCCCCCTCCCCCATTGCATGGAGTTTTATATGGCCCCTTAGCTCCCTATCCATGTTTGCATATTTCTCTCTCTGGGCACTAGTCTTTCATACCTTTTATCCTATTTAAACCACATCAGGGTTCCCTCACTTTCACCTAGGAAGCCAGTCTTCAAGGAAGCAGATCTCTCCAGGCATGAGTAATGGGCATAGAAAGCATTTCATCTCAGTGGGTTGCCAATCTGAATCTGGCACAAGGAGCAGTGATTGAAATTCATTATCACATGGCAAGGAAATATACTCCCTCCCCACCCCAAGGCCCTGGCAGTTTCTGCCTCATTTGGATGACAGGTGTTTTTGCCACAATATTTTCCCTATTGTTTCTATTAATTGAGAGCCTGCCCCATATCAGGTCATAAGAAAGCAACTGGGAAACATGTAAATGATTTTTACCACACATTGCAGAGGTAGTCCCCAAAGATTCCTCATAATAGCTCTATGGTCAACCAGTATAGATGCATGGACAAGAGAGAGGGCTTTTTTTCTAAGACCATATCCATATGGGATGGACCTGGAAGAGTCATTTCTTAGCTTGAATGGGCTTTCTTCGCCTATTCCTTTATTTAATCCTAAATTTAATCCTTTATTAAATAAATCAACATTGCCCACTTGCATGAGAACTATGATCCAGGAAAACACTCAAAATTTGGCTGAATGAATTGAAAGGTCCTGTTAATTAAAGACTGGAACAAGTTAACCCATACTTACTTTGGGGTGGTTCTGTGTGTAAACATGCTTTTTCTCCTTTCTGCCCCTGCTGCAGGGTTTCAGAGATGACTGTGACATGGTCTCTGCTCTCAAGGAGCTTACACTCTAGTGTCAGTGTTAACACAGGTTAGCTCAGGTGGTTAAACCAGGGGTGGGAGAGCACTGCGCTTGCCCATGGTTGCAAGAGCCAGACTCAGGAGGAAGAGCCACATTGGTGTTAGACCAATTCTACAGAATCTTTTGGGAGGGAATGAATTTGGTTCAGGGCACTCTTCCCTTTCTAACACTGGGATCTGAAATAACTCTTAGTTGTGATATTAAAAACAGCAATATCTACTTTGAACTTAAATAGCTCCTACCTTTACTTCAGTATCAATAGATGCTTCCAATCATCGACTTCCATCACTTTAGTACTTTATTTTGGCTTTTAGTGCTCAAAGAATTATAGTGTGAACTCCTCTCTCTCTCGCTCTCTTTTTTTTCAAAAATATTATTGGGACCAAATTAATTTCTCATCTTTCAGATGATAGAATCATTTTAGGAATCATACTTTCAGAGCGATCAGTGCCTGTTGTTCTTTTTCTGTGGTTTTTTTTATTAGAGATGGTCTGTTTAAATCTCCACTAATGAATTCTTTGAGGTCTCCATTTTCTCTTTATCCTTTTCTACAAAGAAAAATGATGGTTTATTTACCCACCCTCCCCTTCCTAGAGCTAAGTGCTGGCCTGCTTTTTTCTGGTATGTGATCTCTCAGGAAGATGTCATTCACTGGCATTCAGTTACCCTTTGAATTGCCCCTTTTCATCTTGGCTGTTCTTACCCAGTCCAGCTATAATTACCATCTGATGGACTGTTACTGGATACTGTTTCACTTGTACATCTGCTGCCCTAGGAAATTGCATTATTCTCCCAGCACCTGCTAGATTTTCCCCAGCTTAATTGTTTCCCAAGCCCTTCCTTAAACTTGGAAACTTTCACTGTCTGTGGTTAGACTTCCCTTGGTTGTACTTGCGGTTGGGGTGCATGTTTGTGTGTGTGCACATGTGTATAAGTGTAGAAATTAGACTTTTAGTATTTCCTTGGTAGAAATTTCTAAAAATAGAAACCCTGTTTTTCAGCATCATATATACACTGATCATTATTCATGTGACCATGATGATATTTACTTGAAACAAAATTAACCCACTTGAAATCCCCACCATGAGTAAAGTTTTCATTTTCAAACCACTTCTCAGCCATTTCCTACACATTTACACTACCTATAGGAAATGCATTTTTTCCCATTTATGGTGAACCCTTTTCTCTGACATCCTGAGAATAATTTCCATAAATTCCTTCATGAGCTCTTACTTTTTCTCCAAATAAATAATACAAATTCAAAGTTGATTTATTTTCACTTCTCTGAGTACTGTCTTGTTCAGTATTATACATAGTATATATATTTACATCAGAATGACTTAACAAATCTATGGTTTCTTCTCATTATTATCATCCCTCCCTGTTAGAAAGATTACAGAGTAATAAACAACTATTACTAATAATATATACTTAGCTCTGCTAAAGGCT